CTCTTATAGCAGATTGAAGGTTCTGATAAGAAATTTCCTTTTCATTTCGAGTGTTGTAGCCTTGCACCTTACATGAGCACAAATTGCAGTCATCTCCGTGGTTTCTAGGCTCACGCCAGACCATTGGAATTCACAAAAGACAACGACTTTTTCTTACCTTTAGTCCATTGTCTCAACTCTTCGATACAAATGGTGCAAACTTTGTGCGGAGCCCATGATTTGTCGTGGTCCCCAAGTTTTCTTCCAAAATACGCGTAATACGCTTTTTTTTTGACGAATTCTGTAATGTTTTTGCCTTTGTTTTTTTACAACCAATTTACCACAAATACAATGCAGAATATGTCTGGGTCATTTACACAACCTCGTATTGACATAGTGACGAATAAATAATATTGAACATTAAAAAATAATGTCAAAATGCACGCACAAACAAAACACTATCCAGAAATGACACGTCATGCGGCCTGTTAACCGTTTATATACTAGCGGTGTGTTTCTTGTGGGTTCTAGAACGATCGATAAAACTATCACGTCGCAATTGGTCTAGAGAAATCTATAGCCAGTGGTTATCAACATTTTAAGCATTACAAAATGTGACCCAATTTCAATGAAAATGATTCACTTGTGTAAAAGTACATATGACGTTTTGTGACAAATCTGTACGTGATTGAGAAAAATTGATATCATTTTCGGATTCAGCGTACTAGAATTACTGTAGAACTTGTAAAAAAAATTCAAGACAATAAAACCATCGCAGGCCTGTTTTATTTGGCGTGACTGTTTTTCTTTATATTTCACGCCCTACAGCGGTATATCTGCTGACTTACACTGCTAGAAACCGGGTTTCGATACTTGTGGTGGGTAGAGCACAGATAACCCATTGTATAGCTTTTTGCTTAACTACAAACAAACAAAATTATATTTTACAGTTTTTACAAACGTTAGATGTTTCAATATGGAGGTGATTACCCGTATAAAAGCAAGAAAAATCAGACTTCATCTTCAGGTTTTATTTTATTAATTTCTCTCTAAAAATAGGTTTTATAAGAACAGTTATTCTAAACACTTTCAAGTGTAAAATGTGTATTTTACCCCCACCCTCCCAAGTCTCAGTGTTAAGCCTGAATCTTTATAACGCTAAAATTGTGTTTCGAACCCCGCAGTATACACAGTATGCTAATTGCCCATTATGTAACTTTGCGTTTGATAAAAAAAGTATTTCGTTGAACATAGCGGAGGTTAATGCAGGCATAAAAATTTAAACGTTCCCTTCTTGTTCATTGTTCATGAAGCATGTGCAAGCATGCTCTTATTTCTAAACCTATGTTAGTGGATTAGTTATTATTAACTTCTTTCTTATCAAAAATGTCATAAAATACAGGATAGTGGAAAAGAAGTCTATCGAGGATATTTTTAAGATACTACCCACTAAATTTTCTGAAGGGATCTATTGGATTGTACAATGAAAATTTTCTGACTGTCCTAATACACCTTCGAAAAATATCCTTGTACTGTCCTATTACACCTTCGAAAAATATCCTTGTACTGTCCTATTACACCTTCGAAAAATATCCTTGTACTGTCCTAATACACCTTCGAAAAATATCCTTGTACTGTCCTAATACACCTTCGAAAAATATCCTTGTACTGTCCTAATACACCTTCGAAAAATACCCTTGTACAGTCTAAATACACTTTAGAAAACTTTCCTTTGCACTGCTCTTAAGATCCATTTAGAATATTCTTTTTCTACTATCACATAGATCCCTTTAGAATATTCAATATGTATTATTCTACAGAACCATTCAGAAGATTTATCTGTATTGTTCTGAAGATCCGTTCAGAACATTCCATTTATACTGTTCAATAGATCCCTTCAGAAAATTATCGTTGTACAATCCAATAGATCCCTTCAGAAAATTATCGTTGTACAATCCAATAGATCCCTTGCAAAGATATTTTTCGAAGGTGTACTAGGACAGTATAAGGAAAGTATTCTGAAAGGATCTGTGTATGTGCTAATTTTTATTTTCACAGAAAATATTTTTAAGTCTATACATAACACTCTTTTCGTTTCTTATATGGTCAGAAATTTGTTATTCGTGTATTTGAACAAGGTATGTCTAGGCTTGCAACAACGTAGAGTTTTCCATGTACAGAGACAAAGTGCAGAAACCGCAGCATAAGTAACGTTAGTACTTTATATATACACAGACAATGTACAAATAACATACGGTTACTCCATATACAGATACAAAGTAACTTTTGTGCGCTATAGTTTTAATATCTTAATGTTTTTCTCACTATAAGAAGTCTTTTACACGATTTAATAATTGCGTGAAAACTTAGGAATCTCGAATAATCGTGAAATAGCGTACAATATAAAAATACCACAATGAGTGACTTAGAATTAATTAACCAATTCAGAGTAAGTGAAAAAGTTTTAGTTAGATTATACAGTGTGAATTAATCTATTCGTCAGTGATTCTGTTATCGAGTTAGTTAGTTATTCAGTCCTCAGAAAGTCAGTGAATCAGTCAGCGTGAATGTTACTGATATCAATTTAGCAAAGAAATTTTG